TATATATAGTGCACTGTAAAACTGTAAAATTGTTTAACTGCTGCCTTAAGTGGTAGAAAAGTCATTACACTTTTTCGACTACATTTTAATTACTGATTTAAAAATGCGTTACAAATAACAGGAATTGTTGGGACACTTTGAATGGATGTTGAAACAAATATGTTCAAATGAAAACAGGCCTAAGCTCTTCGGCCTTTCCTGATGTCTTACATTTTGTCGTGTGAATGTTTAACCTAAGTAAGCAAATGCTTGGTTTTTGCTTTACAAATAAAAGAACAAGTTTACTTCTAAAAGGCGATATCTTCGCCATATAAATGTATGTTTATGTGCATCTACACACTGCATGCCTAGTCCATAAAGATAAAAAAATTAAATAAAAACACAGGACGTTTATAAAACAACATTACAAAGTAAATAAGTTTGAGAACAGTGGTTCTATTTTGTATCCACTGGAAATCTTGCTCCTCCCTGACTTGATACCTGTTGTAAAGTGAAGGTCGTCCTGTTTCTGCGTTGTTTTCTGCGCAGAAAACCGTCATCAAAGTCTCCAGAGGCGTGATTCCCAAACCCATTTGTGTTCACTATTTAAAACAGTAACGCGACACTTTTAAAATATAACATTTCTATAGGATGAAAACATCAATTTTTGCCTCTCACAAAAATGCCTCTCACTTAATCGTGATGCACTAATTCACAGGGAACAGTTGATTTATTGTATTCATCTGCTAGAGACCTGAATTATCGCTTGACACAATGAGAAACCGTGACCAACAAAATGCCAGTTGAAAGGCATGACATCTAACATCTGTTCTCAGACAGACTGCAACAAAAAGTCTCAGCTGGGCGGCTGTCAAGCTCCTCGATCACGTTACCATGTGGCAAAATATTAAACACCATAAAACAAACACATACATAGGCCTAGGCTAATTATTAAGTAACTTTGATTGTCAAATATAATGACCATTATGAAGGTCAATTATGGAACTATAAACTGCCACAGAAAGCGTTTCAATATTTTTTTCAATTGATATATAATTAGCCTACAAAGCCCATTCTTACAGAAGAAATCAATCACACTTACATGTGTTGGTCCTGCAGCACTCTCCCTCTAACTGTGGAGGACAGTGAAAGTAAAACATGTTTCCCGGTGCTTAGCGAGTGGAGAGAATATTTCACTCTGCAAAGAAAAAAATGGCCAAGCGTTACCGTAATGCTCGCCAACTATTACTGCAATCGCATGCGTCTTAAAAAGATAACTTTGAGCAATGCTAATACGTTTCTGCAACCGATTTGAAGCGCATAAAGTAAAAAAGCATCTGCACCAATAGATGGTCTTTATTCAATCGCTATTCTCGTGTCTCCAGCTCAACCTCAGCAGAGCAATCGCTCTCCCACCGTCAATCACTGAGCGCTTCAGTTTATCCGCTCTCTCGCGCATAAGGAGGGAGTGACCAGATGTCTTTGTGACTGTTTAGAGCATGACAACACTTGCCTTTATAATCTCCCACGTAATTGCAATTAATCAGATTTTCGTTTTCAAGTCATTTGGATAGGTTTTCCGCGGCCAACCGGCTTGCGCACGTGGTGGAAACGTCAAAATCCTCCAAGGCATTAATACTCCGAAACTTTAGCTCGATGCACGCATATTCCCAAATCACAAACACGGGCACAAGCACGATGCACTTTTTTTACAAAGTTGCTTTTTATATTAAAAATCTAGATGACTGTTTTTGAATTTAAAATTGGCTGTCAGACCAGTAATTGCTCATTATATGGGTTAGGGGTCCACTTTATACGAGAATCCACTGGCTGCGCGCTCGCAGGTCCAAATTTTGATTTTGTTCACAGCAAGGGGTCCAAGGATTTATTTCCCACTCTCGCGTAAATGATATGCAGCGGGACCCTTTCAATTACTTTTAAAACGCACGCGGGACGCCGCGCGCAGACACCGCCGCTCCTCTGCTGCTGGAAATGAGGCTCCGAGTAGCAGCTGAAATTTTGAAGTGCAGGACGGTATTGGATGAAATCACATAAACTGCAAAAAAGCAAGTGTAATGGTGCATAATTGGTTCTCTAATAGCATTACACAAGGATAATAGCCTGTTATGGCCCCCTGCACTATTAAGTGCTTCCCTGGCGTAGAACGTTTATGATATTAAGAGGGGAATATAATGATATTTTAGTTATTAAATGCGTGTAATTAATTTATGCACAGCTGAAAATAAAGTTGGTGTTATGATCTCGTCAAAATGCATCGGATACTGGGGGACGAGCGCTGTATAACTTCTTGACATTTGTAATATTATACGGAACGGAGATATATTTAAATTGATCAAACCTATAGATCAAGTGATTTCTACGACCGTGAGAGTCTGACTGGGAGTGTATTACAGCAGTATATGTGCCAGATAAAGTAAGTGTCATAAAGCGCTCTATTTAAAACATATCTTTAGAGTGCACGTGCGACTGAATAATTGCTGTTTTTAATTTTTAACTAACAGAATAATTGTGTGCATGAGGCCTCATGAGAAAAGAAAAGACAAAAAGAAAAGAAAAACTTTCAGTACCCTGGTCAGCGACAGGACAGCTTGCGCACAAATATCCAACATTAAAAATAACTTTTTGATTAATAGAATACAAATGAATAAGTAAATTATTATTCTGAGCCCATTATCGACTGCATAAACGAATAGAAAGTTTTAATGGTCGAAAACTCGAATAGAGCATTGAATAAATTCAACTCTTTGTTTTATATTGTTTCAAAAAGCATTTTGCAGTTAGTTAATTTAACGATTTATTCGCTCTCATTTGAAGAGAAATGTATTTTAACAAAAGCACTAATTAAAAAAAAAGTATTTTTGAAAATATTTATTTTTAATTGCTCGTGTGCTAACTCGCATTGACAAACAATATACGAGGAACACTAATTTCTGACACATTAACTTACAAGAAATAAAAGCCTGTCCCTGAGAGGCCATGGCATTGTGATTAATGTGCAACAACAGACAATCATAGTTCTTTTCAAAATGAGATCCAATAAGCCCCTGTGAGGTGGTGTATCTGGCTCATCATCTAGTGATGCATTAAATTTCCTAGATCATATTAATAAAATGTACTAAGGAGTTGATCTAAAGGATGATGCTTATTGGGTAACTTTTAATGAATCCATTTAATTGTTAAAATGTGTACAATATTCCCTCAACTCCATCACTGGCTTTACACATTGCAATTACATTAGATCTCATTTGTTCTCAGTGAACAGATAGTAAGTGAAAGGCAGAGGTAGATACTCTCAAGACATTAAAGGGGTCATATGATGCGATTTCAATTTTTCCTTTCTCTTTGGAGTGTTACAAGCTCTTGGTGCATAAAGAAGATCTGTAAAGTTGCAAACACTAAAGTCTCAAAACCAAAGTGATTTTATAATTTATAAAATTATAATTTTATAAATTTTATAATTTTAATAAAAAATTTTTTGAAATTTTTATAATTTCAAAATCACCTTCACTTACTAAAATGTCATGGAAACAAATTGGCACCAAGCACCTTTATAGGGTAGAAACCCTATATAAAATTTATATTTTCCATTATTGCCAAATTATTGGTAGAACAGAGTACCAATAATTGAGTGAATAATGAAATAAAAAAGAAAATTACAGCAGTATTACAATAACATTGTAATATATATTATAACATAGTATAGAAAAAAGTACTGGTCTCAACAATAATTGCATGAATAGCACATTTTCAAGAGATTTCCAAGTTCAAGTAATTTCCAGGAATTTTACAAAAACCAACAATAGGATGACATCACATTTTTTTCATGCAATAGGAGTGTTTTACAATAATAGGGCCAATACAATTCTTTTGTACTTTTTGCAGCCAACCTGGAAAGTTCTAGGAGGTTTATTGAAATGAATTGCATTTACACATTTTGTAATCTTAAAATAACTGATGCATCGGATCACCTGTTCCCAAGTGTGAGGTATATATTCCATTTGGAGCTTCTCAGTGAATAGCTTTTAATATGCTCTGGTCCGTCTACCTGTAGTCAGCTTTAAGCTTCCACATCCCTTCCTGTCCAGGAAGTCTATGGAACTCACAAATATTCCTCAGCAGTTCTCTGAACACTGGTGTTTGTGTGGATGTGAGTCTCGGGGTGAAGTACTCCAGGATCTCCTTGGTGCTCGCCTGGCCATCCACCTGAGCTTGGAAGGCCACAAAGTTCCTCAGGTCAACCAGAAGCTCATCGTGTTCTGTAGGGGTAGCATGCACGGCAGCAGACTCTCTCTCTCCCTCTTCCTCATCCTCTTGTCTCTGGGGTTGATTGAGATGATTCCTGGCCCTCATTCTAGCAAGGAGAGAAGATGAGGAGAGAGAACCAGACTCCTCCTGCGCTCCTTCACCGCTGAAGTGAGCAGCAGATCCTGGTTTCTTTACAACTGACTTCTTTATAATATCTGCATCCTATATTTAAAAAAAAAAACACAACATGAGTGCCCAACAACCGTTTATTATTCTTTTGGGGGTTCACAGGATATTGTATCCTTATAGACATACCTTGCATTTCTCTGCTGCTTTTGCCATTGTCCCAGACGACTGAGACAGAAGTGAGTTTTTCTTATGCCCAAACCTTCTCCTAAGAGCAAAATGTAATATTTACTTAAATTTATTAAAATTTGATAATATTACAATACACATTATTTTTAATTTCCATTCAGTTTAATAAAATCAAAATAGACATACTTGACTGGAGGTGGGGTTGCTGTTGTTGACCCTCTTGAGAAAGAAAGCCTGCAGTTTTGTCTGGAGATCTTCAGAGCTCTCAGTGCATCCTTCGCAACCCTATTGGCTTCGGCTTCCACAAGCACATAATCCGGGTTCGATGCCTCCATGATGGTGTCGTGCTTCATGACGCTGTGGATCCCTGATTTTTTAAAGAGTTTGGCTAGAACATAATCGTCACTCTTTTTCTCATTTTTTTCCTCCTCCTCCTTCTCATTTTCCTCTTTCTTGTGCCTCCGTTTCTTCACCAGGTGAGAAATGCGACAGCCCTCAAACTTAGCATCTTCAGAGTGCTTGCGCTTTTTATGCTTGCGCTTGTGTCTGTCTGAGGATAACGTGTCCTTTTCTGGCGTTTCACAGTGCTTTTTCTTCTCTCTGTGCTTTTGAGGGCTGTTCGCAGAAGAATGATCTTTACTAATGCTGTTTGTCAAACGATCAGCAGTGGAATAAGGTTCAAGGCCATTGCTCTGCGACCCAGAAGCATTGGTGTTTGAGAGACCATTGGCTGAGGTAGCGTTTCTGCTTCCTGTCAGAGATGTGTTATCTTGGTCGTCAACACAAAATGCAGATGAAGTAGACGATGATGGTCTGGAGGTTCCCTGAGAAGGACGGGAGGTCTTGTGTCTTTTTGGAACCTGCACATCTGACCCTGTGCCTATAAAATAAGAAAAAAAGACATCACAATTTAATAGAGCTACGTATCTACACTCTCAGGAAAAAATGTGCTAAAATTGTAACTTCAGGGGTGAAACTGCTTGTCACTGGTGCAAAGGTCAACTATGTATCTTATTTATCCCTAAATGGTTAATTGTAGTTACTTAAGGGCACATATTACAACCTTAAGATAATAATATGCATCTTTTCGGGGTAGTCGAGGTACAAAGTTGTCTCTTTAAGGGTACTGCCCCAGTGACAAGCATTTTTTCTGACAGAGTACCAAAAAAATGTTTTTAAATGGTATTTACAATGATTTCAACACATGTTCTCTTTGTGAAATCAGCCAAATGAACAGAGCTGTTCTTGCAAAGAAAATATGTTCAAATTGTTAATATATCCATGAATTACCTGCAAATATTGCACTGGTTTCTGTTCCCTGGGAACCGTCAGGATTGCTCAGCGTGAAAAGTTCATAAATGTCATTAGACTTGAAAAACCGCCTCTGCTTAGGATCTTTTAGCACTCGGTTGGTGAGAAACTGTTTGAAGATTTGTCTATGGAAAGAAACAAGAAATACTGTACTTTTTTTTTTTAGTCCCACATTTCCTGAATTATTTCCTTTATATCCTAAACACTGACACGCCACAATGTCACCCTGCTGGGTGGTTTATCTGCTTAACAAATACATTGCGTCTCG